ACCCCAAAACCCCAAAACCCCATAAAGATTAAATATTGAGATTGATGAAAGGAAATGCTTTATTCAATTGATTAATATAATCGAAAATATAACAAGCTCAAGGTAATACTGAATCCAAAAGCATTAATTTCTACGGAGCTATAACCTTAATTGGTTTTCTTTTAAACTCTGGCTAAAACTTTCTCAAATGTGCTTCAAATTCCTCAGTGGTTCCTTTTAGAAGAGGGAATGTTCCAAAGTGCATTGGAATAGTTACTGTGGCAGAGGGTAAAAATCTGCTGACTGCATAAGCAGCTTCTCTAGGGCCCATTGTGAAAGATCCTCCGATAGGCAGCAATAAGTGTGTTGGTTTATAAAGTTTGTCTATGATGGCCATATTCCCAAACACATTTGTATCACCTGCATGATATATATTAGCTCCTCCAGCAGATACTACAAAACCACAAGGTTCACCTCCTTAAGTCATAGTTTAGTCACGCAACAAACAGGTTGATGAATGATCTGCTGAGACCATCTGAACTCGGCAATATCCAAAGTCTAGCTAGCCTCCCTTATTCATAGGTGCTCCTTGTTCCTCCTTCACTCCGTGATGCTTCTGGTAAAACTGGAACAATTCGTAGTTGCAAATAATCTTAGCCTCTTTTTTAGATGAAGCTTTTATGATTCCAGGAGCGCTAGAAGAATGATCAAAGTGCCCATGTGTGATTAGAACTAGATCTGCATCGTTAGGGACCTTCCCTTTCAAGTCCTCTGGTAGGAATGGATTATCCAGCCAGGGATCTATATAAATACACCTGTTGATGCTTGCATCCTGAATGTCTGGAACTTCTATTCTAAAACCTGAATGACCCAACCATCTTAACTTGACTTTTCTATTTATAGTTTACAATGGGGTACACTATCTTTCTTATTTTGCTGATGAACAACCCATAATAAGATCTTTTATAATCTAAGATTTAATTAATATAAACTTAATCCTAATTTACTTATTTTAGAAATTATATTTATAATAAAATTTTTTATATTGTCAACACGGGGGTTTTGGGGTTTTGGGG